GGTTTAAAAAAAGTTTCTTTGAAAAATTTCAGATCGACTCGTACGTCAGAGTGTTTGAAAAATTTGCTTTGAAAGCTTTTGAAAACGTGTTGATGAAAAAATGTTTTGATTTGTTTCGAGATTAGATCAAGTATCCTTGAGAACCTACCTACCCTAAGGAATTCGTCTGTGTAAGAGTCCTTTAAAGTAGTGCCATCCTACCATTGAGAGGTAGGTAGCACCACCGTTGGAGGTGTTCGGGTCAATTCGAGTTTTAGGGACGTGGTGATCACCAGAGCAATGGGAAGACACCTTAGAAGCTACCCTCATGCTAGGTTCCCGGATCATGAGGACTTACTAAGACGTCCTCTACTCGACGACCACCTTTCGAAAGGCAACAGTGAGGCGTACCCTAGGGGTGGTGTGTGCGAATTGTGTGTCATGTTTCAGTTATTTGTCTTGTCATGTTTGTTGTGTTCTACGCTTGATTTTAATTAAGACATTCATTCTTGCATGCTTATTTAACAGTTATAAAGTATTTGCGGGAAGATAAATCTAAGGCTATTACAAAGGCGCGGGTCCACATCGCCAAAATTAAACCGGACCCGATTTGACTGAAAAAATAAATAAAGCGAATAAAAAGTGCGAGAAAGTATAAATTACAATGCTTTGGGAGAGATACAAAATTAATCAAACGACATAAAATAAAATACGCGAAATTAATAATTAAAAATATGAACATGGGCGTTGGACCCTTTTGCAAAATATTAATTTAATAAAGAATTAAAATAAAAAATGAAAATTAAATGTTTTTGGTATTTTGTGTTTTTTTAAGATTTAAAAGAAAAAGAATTAATTAAAACTAAAAAATTGGATGTAAACCCTAATTCTAATGTTTTTTAAGTTTATTAAGAAAATGTTATATTAATCTAAATTAAACCCTAATTTTTATTCATGTACATTTAATTATAAAAATAAAATAAATAAATAAATAATATTGTGATAAAAAGGAAAAATTAAAAAGGTATAAAAATTATCAATTAACCTAATTCTATATTTTTTGGATTTTATTAAAAGGAATTAAAGTTAAAAACCTAATTAAACTAAATAATCTACATATTAATTATTTACAAGAAAATAAACAAAATAAATACTTTTTATGTTTTTATCCTCTTTCTGATTTTTTGATGTTTTTATATTTTATGGCAATAATTAATTAAATTAGACAATCAAGAAAATAAAATAATAAATTAAATGAAACACAAGAAAAATAAAAAGAATGGCAAACCAGGGGGGGTAGCCCCAAAATTGGAGGTACAGGCCTGGCAATCTGGCCCATTTATCTTTGAGTTCGTTGACTTTTTGAATCCTGTATGATGCGTTGACTGGGAGTACAGCGTGTTCATCCATCCTATGCCTTTGGATTGATCCCCAGGAAGACGTGTCATGCTTGATCTTGAGGCGTATGGTGAACCCTAGCGTGGAGCCTGCATAGGAATTGTTATACAAAAATAATATGGAATTTGTTCAGACCTGGGACTTGAACCCAGGTCTTGGAGGTTGTATGCATCACGTGTTGCCAACTGAGCCATTGAATTTCATTTAATATATTATAGTGAATAAACAACAAAAGGCAAAACCAACGCGTAGTGGATAGCACGCGCGAAATTTCAAATGAACGAATCACGCTTCGCCACGACGTTGTCTTCTTCCTTGTCCCTGTAAAACAAAACATATAGGCAACGGTTTTCGTTGCGTTGCCTAAACCCATATATCAAAAAATAGCGAATAGACCCTCGACGCTCATAAATTGAGCGCGAGGGTTGGAATCTTTTCGTCTGGACGTGCTAAGTGCAATGGCAGTGGTCTTGGGTCCCAATTTTGCTTTGTTGTAAAAGCCCTAAATCAAGCTCTGAAAAACCCTAGAATATGAACATGGTAATATCGCGTATGGCTTATGAAAACTCAATTAAACATATCAGTTAGCTTGGAAACTTCATATTAAACAAGAATTCACAAATAAAAATGCAAAAGAATGTATGAATTATGATATAGGATTTCAAAAGTTTCTCTGTACAGGGAAGGTCCTTGTTACCGATTCTTTGCGTTTGGGTGGATGTTTGGAGTCGGAATTGCTTCAGGGAACCTTGAGGAAGCCTTTGAAACAAGAATTAGGACCTGAATGAATCTCTAACCACGTTTTCAGAATTGAATTTTATGGCAATTTTTTCAAGTGTGCAATGGAGTTTTCAGCGCAGCTTAGAGTTTTAATGGCTTTAGGTTTTGATTCCTGATCATATAGTGAACATGCTAGGTCAACAAAATTGCACCAAATCTCATGAATTCAATGTTTTTCATATTTGATTTTGTAAAATCTTTTTTGAATCTTTTTCACATGTAATTTGGTTCAATCATGCTCCAATCACACCAAAACTTGCCATATTTAATTGTACACGAAATCTTGAGAGTAGAATGTGCACAAAAAGATTTTTTTAGGTCAAGTTTATATTTTTCACATATTTAAATAATTTAAATGAATTAATATTAATATAAATTCAAATAAATAATTAAAAATTGAGAAAATACTTCCCTTTGGGCCAAATGGTCGTGCATAGGCTTGGCATGAAGAAACTTGGAAGAAAAATGGGCCCATTAGCATTTTTGGATCATTTGAACCATTGTTGACTTTTCAAAATTCCCAAAACTTTCCCAACTTCCACAAGGCATAACTTGCTCAATTTTCAAGCTTTTCACATGTTCTTGGACATTTTGGAAAGGTATTTGAGTCCTTTAACCAATGCCTTTGGTCCCATGTCATTTTGATTTACCAATCTCAAGTTATGGCCTTTGACTTAAAGTCCCTTTTTGTTGACTTTTGAAAATGACCTATAATGTTGAAATTGATAACTTTTTGTGAGAGCATTTCTTGGACTTGGAATATGAAGATGAATTGTAGGAAATTTCTTTCTCTTCAAAATGAGCTTTGGATGGAATTTTTCTGATAATCCATGTGAAAGTTATGCCCTGGTCAATTTCAGTTGACTTTTTCAGCTGTCCAAATATAGTAACTTTTGCATCTTTGATGATTTCTGAGCCAAACTTTGAGAATCATGATCAAGCATTGATCAAATGATGTTTGTGGCTTCAAAATGATATGTTGACCAAAAATTTGAACTTTTGACTGCCAAATGACCATTTTGCCCCTACAGTTGACTGTAGTGCAATCTAGGGTTTTGACTGTGCAATTTTGAGCTGAATGCCTTGAAACTTGGTATGAGGATACTTGACCACATTTGTAGGCATATGAGACTTGATTGGGCCTTTGAAAACTTTCAATTCTTGATCAGAACACAAACCCTAGTTTTGACTGTATGAGACTGTTGCACTGCACAACCCTTGGGGAATTTTGTGACTTGGCTTGACAAATCTTGGAGAATATGGGAGGGCAAATTTTGGGGTACAACACCATTCACCCTAGTTCTTATAAAATGTATTAGGATTTGAATAAGAGCTATTGGTGGCCCGGTATGAAAAGAGATGTAGCATGGTATATAGCTGGATACATGGTGTACCAAAAAGTCATGATTGAGCACCAAAAAATAGGTGGTTTATTGCAACAATTAGATATACCAAAATGTAAATGGTAAATTATATCAATGGATTTCATAGTGGGACTTCCTCGTACGCTCGGCAAACATGAATCAATTTTGGTGATCATAGAAAGATTGACCAAATCAGCTCACTTTTTACCCGTTAAGTCTACACACAAGATCATCCACTTGGCGAGGTGTTTCATTTCAGAGATAGTTTGTTTGCATGGTTTACCCACCAATATTGTATCCAATCGAGATCTAAAGTTGACTTTGAGATTTTGGAAGGCTTTCCACCATGCAATGGGAACTCAATTGTGTCTTAGCATTTCAAACCTCCTCAATCAGATGGTCAGACGAAAGGGACGATATACACCATCGAGGATATGATGCAAGCTTGTATTTTGGAAAGTGGAGGTAGTTGGAAAGATCATTTATCATTGATTGAGTTTGCTTATAAAAATATTTACCACTCTAATATATACACACGAAAATGTAGGAAAACTATATGTTGGGCAGAAGTGAGTGATAATAGCATCCTTGGACCGGAGGTGATTCAAGAGACCATGGAGAAGATAATGATGATCAGGGAGAATATGAAGAAGGCCCAGGATCAACATAAGATTTATGATGATCATAGGAGGAAACCTTTAGAGTTTGAAGAGGGAGGTCACGTGTTCTTGAAAGTTACTCATAAGCTTGGATTAAATTAAAGGGAACTTTCCAAGACCAAAAAGTTTAGTCTGAGGTACATTGGTCCTTATCGAATCATAGGTCGATTAGGCGAGGTGGCATATCACTTATCATTACTACCTTCTCTATTCGTACTTCATGATGTCTTCCATGTATCTCAGCTTAGAATTTTGTATCGAATCCTTTTAGCCTACCCTTCTAGAGACAATTGAATTTGCTGCATACCTTACATATCAACCCCAACCTATATACATCATGGATTACACGGTGAACACTTTATTTAAGAAGGAGATACCTTTGGTGAAGGTGATGTGGAAGGAGGCGCGTCTTGAAAAAGCTACTTGGAAGCTAGAGTCTGACATGCGAGAGATTTATCCTCATCTTTTCAGGTATGTTTATAAAATTCGAGGAAGAATTTTTATATTTAAGGGAGGAGGATGTAATGCCCCAAGTCATTCCTAAGAGCTTATGTTCACTACTAAAATGAAATTAATTAGTAACATCAGAATTAGAATGAAATTTCGGAACTTAGTAGTATTTTAGGTGCTAAGGGGTAGAATAAGAAATTATGGGTTAAATAGGGGAAATTTTGTAATTCCCCATGAGAAAAGCCCTTTACTAACTTTCTCTTTGACTTTTTCATTTTTAGTGGAAATAGAGAAAGAGAGAAAAGGGGGTAAAGGGGGAAAAGAAGAACACGGGAAAAAGTAAGAAAAAGGAGGATGAAAGCTCTTTTGCATGCACCCAATCTTGAATATTTCTCAAAGATCAAGCCCAAACCTTCATCGACCTAGAATTTACAGGTTCTTTTAAAGATGGGGTTCTTAGATTAGAGGTTCCAAATATGATTTTTTAGGGTTTAGTATGTTTTTGGGAAAATTGTGTTTTATATGTGTTTTTCCTCAAATTGCATGTTTGATCTTGATGTGTTAGTATGTTAGCCACTTTGTTGATGTTATTAATATCTTTGTGGTGTTGAATGATGTTTGTTTTTTATGTATTAATGCATCTGGTATGATAGATTTTGCACGGAGGTGGGAATTGTCACTTTCCGCTTCTATTTCTGCAGAATTCAAATTCTGGATGCAATGACAATCGTTAGCATGCGGATGGGCCAACCGTCACACTTCTATGCCTTGACGGGTGTCAACTATATGAAGGTTTTTCCGCCATGCTTCCCAAACCCTGGTGGGCATCATTCAGTGTTTACTTGTGACTCCTTGAACTATTTCCATGTGACTACCATCATGTCCATGACTGCGAAACCGTCACCCTATTTGGGTCAGCGCTATTTCAACCATGTTTTGTGATTTTCGGGAAGGATTCTTCCTTCTGGTGATTTTATATACTATGTTTGAGGTTGTTGAACCTATTTAGCATGTAGTGTGGATTGTGACGAAATTTAGACCGCTTAGTTCTAAGAGAAATAAAGAGATTTGGCATATCATTCCTTGAGGGTAGCAACCCCAAAAGTAAATAAATTCAGTGCACCATTTCTTGAGGGTAGCAGCCTAAAATAAAAAGGCGGATAATAGGAGGACCATTTCTCCGAAATTAGTATAGTTATAAATCCTGATGTTATGGTGCTCGCGAGATTAGTAATGAGATTATATTTCCTCTTAAAATATGTGTTGTGTGAAATTTAAATTATTAATGTGGGAAACCTTATGTTAAGATTAGGCACCTTCCTAATGGACAAGAGGACTCCTAAGATAGGAGGACCCCACTAAGAAAATTATTCTCACCCTTTTTGTTATCATAATCTTTTACAGATGATCGATCTATAGCTAAAGGTAAAAGAAAGATGGCTTGATGAGGTGTTTCCTGGAAGATTACCTTAGTTGTTTTGATCTTTTCTGCTGAACTGTTATGATAAACCTGAGTTACAATCGTGTACTATTTTGGTATACTTTGTATTCATATGCAAGACATATGTACTCATGTAACATTATTTACTATTGTATTTTGTTTCAATACCATATATTAAGGCCTAATTATGTTATTATATATACACATTTTATTGGGTTGTTACATGACTAATAGAGGGGATATACACAAGAATAATAAATTTACCTGGATGAACAAGAACGTATGAAGTTTGAACCAGAATAGAGGACACACCAAAGAAGAATAAAGTAAAGAAGGAATCAACATGAATACTAAGAATAAGAAGAAAGAAAAAAAGTAAAGATGATGTTATTGAAGATAGGCATATTGACCTCCACAACTTTGATAAAATATCCAAGGACAGCAACGCAATAGCAACCAAAGTACCAAGTTATACATGAACAATAACAAGGAAAGTAAATATGAAGATCATGGGAACGAGTACACCAAGATAAATTCCACATGAGAAATAGGTGAATGCTCTTACATCCACAAAATCCAAAAATCAAAAGATAAACAAGAGGGACAAAAAGCTGAAGATGATTACTAGCTTAAACTTCACAAAATAGCGACCAAAATGTGAAAAATAAGAACACAATAAATGAGAAAAAGTATACAAGGAAAGACAACATTGGAAAAACATCAATCATAAGAGAAAGGTTGAAAGCTATAACCTCTTCCCCAACATTTCTAACCTGGAAGAGCCAAATCAAAGACAAAACAAACAAAACCAGAAAATAAAAAATAAGCATGACATAGAAAACCAAGATAATAATTATTTTATATGGGATATTTCGAAATCTCTAAACACCAACACTAATCATAAGAATATTAGAGTTAAAGTGAGTACCAAAATAAATAAGATGGAAAACCATCAGAATTAGGTAATCTACAACAACAAAGAAGATACTATGAGCAGTCATGAAATTGATCAAGAAAATTACATTGGTAAAACTAACATGCAAAGCAATACGATAAAGTCAAATGATCTTACATGGGAAAATAAGAAGATTTCATCAGCGTTGATGCTAATATGGAGATAAAAGGCGAGTGAAACACAAGAGCTTGGTTCAGGAATATTAACGACGAAACCCTAGCCTTAGCTATTTAGAATCAATGAGGGTACACCAACCCTCTCGCAGTCGAATGTTAAGCCATCCAGAAGGCAACTAATCTTGCTAAGGAGATGAAGATTGTTATTACAAAGAAAATAATAAAATGGACATTATTTTACAAAAAAAAAGGTCATAACTAATAAAAACTTAATTTGTGAATATTGGACAAAGGTCCAATAACAAAATTATGCATGAATAAATATAAAGGGTTTTAGTTTTAAAGAAAAGCTATAGCATTGAGATTTAACACCAATGTATAAATGATGGGAATACTCATCTCACCATATGGGGTGCTTCCCCACCACAATGAAAATTCAAAACTTTTCTTAGAATTTAGAGATGCATCTCCGCACACATTCTTTTCACACACTCGTCCGTTTAAATTGATAAGACGCCCTTATTTTGTTAAAGCATAGTCTGGAGATGCAGCTCCGTGTCAATATTAGATTAGGCCAGAGATGTATCTCCGTAACAAGTCTTTATTCAATATTCAGTGAATTTTCTGAAGATGTGTCTTCAGAATAGGCTATGTTAGGTCAAATCAGAAACAACTAGAAACAATGGTAGAATTTTGGAAAAACAACATAAAAAACATCAAAATATTTAACATTACTTAGATAATCGTTAACATAAATTTAACATTACATTTCATTATAAACGAGTGGTTCAGGACGTTGCAGCATCCTTAGAATATCTTCGCTTTACCTTGCAATTGTTGCATCCACATTGTATACTTGTTTGATATTTGAAACATTTTGAGGTCTTTTCTGTTTCAAAGTTGCAAGTATGATTTTTGACGCCATCATTTTTAATGTCATGTCCAAAACAAGTTTATTTTCCTACAGAATAAAGTGATATACAATGGAATGACCGGCTAGCTTTTCACTCAAAGCATGATTATGTATATCAGAAACCACATTAAATTTCCATGTATCATTCGCCTTACGGTATCCGTGCAATTTAAGCAAACACTCACATTTTCTCGACTCGGTGTCATCACATTTTAACTTCCTAATCGATGGTTGGTATGTGTCACTTCTTTCGCATCTCATTATTACAAATTAGTGTCTTCTATTAGAACCATTGTTAGACATTCTTATTACAACGTTAAACACCAATTTTCCAAACTCCATGCAGATTCATTGTAGCATATATGTTAACGAACAATGAACTCTTGTTTATTTGTAAATTGTTCATGAACATCTACCTCGACAACAATGGTCTAGCACTCGATTTAACATCAATCTTCTTTTCATCCGATTTAGCATTATCCCTCACTTCGTCTGGTTTAACATGCATCCTCATATTTGTTTTGAGAAACATATTCGAGTGGATCATATCTAATACCAACAATTAAAAAAATCGATTAAAAACTCAAAGTATTAGGCACATCCTGAGATGGATCTTCGATCAAATGAAATTGAGACCGGAGATGCATATCTGAACTCAATGTTCATTTTTTCAGCTCAGAAAACACATAAATGCAAGGAATAAAGAATGAAAATAATAAACTTTACCTTAAATTTGAGCTACTTTTGTTCTCTTTGATGCGATAAATTATCCGAATGATGTTTTGATGTGGAAAAGTTAATTTAGAATGGAAGATTTTTTTTTTAGATTTTAAAAGTGAAGCTCCCTTTGAACACGAGGGAGAAGAACATATAAAGTGGTGTTTTATTTAATTTCTCATCTGACATTTTTGGATGTGCATCTTCGAATACATATTTGAAAATAAATCAACTGAGTTATTAAATAATTCAACTATGTGAATAAAAACATGATAAATGAATACAGAGGAGATTACAAAAATGAATCTTCGAGTACATTTTAAATAATATATAAACATGTATCTCCAAAAAAAAAAAAAAATTATAATTTTTAATGCGCTAAGATATACATCTCCGAACATAAAAATATTATTTTACGAATTTTTAGATATATGAGAATGAAATGCTTATAAAGTGAAATGGATATTTCTGCAATTGATTATATGTAATATTACTATTTATTCCACTTATTCCAAATTATAATTTACTTTATAAAAAAATTTATTCAAAATTATAAATAATTTTACAATTCTAATGCAATATTAATGACACTTGTTTTAATTTACTCTCTACTATTTATTTTTTAATAAATGAAAGACAATAATATAAAATGTAGTACATAATTTCTCAACATTGATTATATTTTTGAATTTGCCTGAAATATTCAAAATGTCATGTGATTTGTGTATGCTTACCTTCTCTGTATGTCTCTTTTTAACAGTCTCTCTCGTGACAGCGAGGACGAGAGGATCCACAGCGACAGAGATTCCTGAGAGATTTGTCGTTTCCCCAATCACATGTTCGTCATCCTTCATCACCATCACGACGAGTATAGGTTCCAGCTAGAAACACCTATAACCTTCTCTCATTCCAACACGTGTCTAATCCCAACCAAGAGTTACTGCTTTTTCTGCTCGTGCGTAGAGGAATGTTGTCTTTACCACCTGTACCATGTCACACACTGTACATTTACCCTAACCAAATATTTTAAGAAATTATTACTAAATTAAATTGAAATTTTTCATTCAAACTATTATAATAATAATAATAATAATAATAATAATAATAATAATAATAATAATAATAATAATAATAATAATAATAATAGTTCGGATAAACATGGATAGATACTACACAGGCACATGCATGTATTATGTTCTATAATGTATTTACAGAGGTAGCTAGCTAGGTACTACCTTTATGATTCAATCAATTATCGTTGTCAGGTTCAGAAGAGAGGACGACAGCGACAGTATTTTTCGTTTTTGGGCTGTCCTCACATAGAACAATGGCGAAACTTATGTTTATATGTCAATTTCTTAATGGGTCATTTCGAAATTTTTACAAATATATCATTTTTTTACAAATTATTCATCAAAATATTTTTTTCCTATTAAATCTCAAATATCATTTTTTTTTTTTAAAATTATTATTGAAGAACCGTCCATTGCTTTGACGATTCTGTGTTATTTTTTTAAAATTTTTTTATTTATCTGCGAATTTATCTATGAATTTTTCTATGAATTTTTCTGTGAATTCTATAATATATAATACTCTTATAGAATTATTTGCGAATAGAATTTGTAAATAATTTCATACGAATATTATATATTAAAGAATCTGTAAGAAAATTCATAAAAAATTTTATAAATGAATAAATTTATTTTTAAAAAACATAACTCAGGATCGTGAAAATAATGGGCGGCTTTTCAATAACAATTTGTTTTAAAACCTAGTAGTTTAGAATTTAGTGGAAAAAAAATAATATTTTAGTAAATAATTCATAAAAAAGTGGAATGTTTGTAAAAAAATTCAGCTATTTTCCCTTATGTCGTCCTATCCTGTATAAGTATGGGCCATGTTTAGTCTTGGAAGGAAACTATAATTCTTTCGTTGACTACTACTACTGCTCTTTTGGATCTTTGTGACTTTTCATGATGCATCATACCTTATTATTAGAAATAGACAAATTTGTACTGATGGATTGAAATCGACTTATTTATTATCTTTTTTATATAAATAAATTGGGTTAGATCGAATATCAAATTGATCCAATTACTTAATTTAAATTGTATAGAGTTAAATCGGTCGGATTTATAAAATTATTTTAAATCTGTCGAAAATCGAACTCAACTAAACTTAATTAATATTTATTTTATATATTTTTTATTACTATATAGTCGAAATATTATAAAAATGAGATTGATAATATTATCAAGTTATTATCCTTTTTATAATTTAATAGTGATATTATATATTTATAT